ATTTCTCAAAGATTGCTGGACCACTATATGACTTACTCAAGGGCACCCCAGGAGAGGAAAAGATGTGCCAAAAATCAAGACAAAGCAGACTGAAAAATAGAGGAGTGCCTTCTAACCAACCAATTGTTTGGAAAGCCGAGCACCAAGAGATTTTGGAGATATTGCTCAACCATCTGGTCAAACCACCTATCCTCGGCTTCCCAGATTTTACGTTGCCCTTTATTCTTCATACGGATGCCTCAAACCAAGGTCTGGGGGCAGTATTATACCAAAAGCAGGATGGTAAGCTCCGTGTGATAGCGTATGGCTCTCGGACACTCACAACTGCCGAACGAAACTACCATCTCCATTCGGGTAAATTAGAGTTTCTAGCACTCAAGTGGTCGGTTACTGAGAAATTCAGAGACTACTTATACTACGCACCGACATTCACAGTCTTCAGCGATAATAATCCCCTCACGTATGTATTATCCAGCGCGAAACTGAATGCAACTGGTTGTAGGTGGGTAGCCGAGCTAGCCGACTTCCATTTTTCAATAAAATATCGCCCTGGTCGAGAGAATGCAGATGCTGACAGCTTATCAAGATTGCCTCTCGACATCGAAGAGATGATGGAACAATATACAGAGGAATTGTCATCAGACTGTATTGCAGCGACTGCTCAAGCAGTGGAAGTACAGGAAGATTCTTCATCATGGGTAGTACCTGATCCTCCATGTCCGTCAGATCGGAGTGTCAATAGTTCTATTCCTGGGAATGAGATCCAACAGGCTCAACGAGAGGATCTGCATATTGGACCTGTAATCAAATGTAAACTGACCAGTGTGAGGCCTCGTGGCCACCAAATTAAGTCTCTTACTGCTAAGAGTAGATGTCTTCTTCGGGAGTGGGAGAAGCTCCATGTAGATGAGGATGGGATCCTGAAGCGGAAAACATCAACAAGGAACCAATTGGTTCTACCTGAAAGATACAAGACAGTTGTAATGAAAGAATTGCACAATGAGATGGGCCACCAAGGCATCGACCGTACAACATCCCTAATCAGAGACCGTTTCTTTTGGCCTCATATGCAACAAGAAATCGAACATTATGTTGCGAAAAGCTGTCCTTGCTTGAAGCAAAAGAAGCCTTGTAGAGAAACCAGGGCCCCTCTCACCAATATCATCACAACGCAGCCCTTTGAACTTGTATCTGTAGACTTCCTGCATTTAGATAAATGTAAGGGGGGATATGAATATATATTAGTGGTAGTCGACCACTTCACACGGTTTGCGCAGGCATACCCTACAACGTCAAAGTCAGCTAAAACGGTAGCCGATCGCCTGTTTAATGACTATGCCCTGCGATTTGGATTTCCAAAACGAATACACCATGACCAAGGTGGTGAATTTGAAAATCAGCTTTTAGCCCAGCTGACAAAGAATTGCGGTGTCCTCAGTTCCAGAACGACGCCATACCACCCGCAAGGGAATGGGCAGACAGAGCGATTTAACAGGACCTTACTTCAAATGCTCAAAACACTGACGGACAAGCAGAAGACGAACTGGAAGGAATCCCTGAATAAACTGATCTTTGCATACAATAGTACTAAATGTGAGGTCACAGGGTTCTCACCTTTCTATCTTCTTTATGGACGACATCCCAGACTGCCAATTGACCTTCTCTTTGGTTTGGAAGAAAGCACTGGTACAGTAAGCCAGCAGGAATATCTGAAGAGATGGAAAGCACAGATGCGGGAAGCATATGAAATATTTAGGGAAAATATGGAAAAGGCAGGAGGACGGAGTAAGAAGTATTACGATAAGAAACTGAGGAGCACAACCTTGTATCCAGGTGACCGCATACTTGTTAGGAACCTGACGCCCAGAGGAGGTACGGGTAAATTGCGTAACCATTGGGAAGAGACCATCCACTCTGTTGTGAGGCAAGTCAAGGAAAATCTCCCAATTTATGAAGTCAAGCCTGAGCTGGGAAAAGGGAGGTCTAGAATCCTACACCGTAATCTCTTGCTTCCATGCGATCACTTGCCGATGGAAGGACAATTCAACAAAGATGCTGACCTAGAGAAAAGGTTGACAAAGGAGAACAAAAAGAGGAGTGACATTGTTGAAACTGATAGAGATGAAGAGGATGAGGATGAATGCTGTCTTTATTACTCACCAAATCAACAGCACGGTGGAGAAGGGTGCGACGAGGATGCTGACGAGTTAGAAAGGGGGGCGAGCAGACTGGCTGAGCAGGTCGAGAGTGTCGCCGAAATCGGAGATCAAGTGGATGCTGTTGGGCTATCAGAGGACGGATCCCCAAGTGAAGAGGACTGTGAGGAGGAACTGATTCAAGCTGAGGATCCCTTTGTAACTGGACAAGAAGGAGAGGAACATGTCGAGAACACATTATCACCTGAGCAATGCAATGATTCGACAACAGTTGAGAGACATTCTAGACCTCAGAGAGAAAGACGAGCCCCTCGACTGTTCACTTATGATCACCTTGGTACTCCCAATTGCCATAATACAAGTTGTAGCCGTGAAGTTTATCAGAATATGCCTTACCTTGGACACCAAACATTTCCATCATGGCCAAGCCCAGGGCCCTTTTATAATCCTTACCCATATCTTGCATACGGATTTCAGGGATAGACTGTATATTTTTAATACAGGCTAAGTAAAATGTAGTAAAAGCAGCATAGTCCATATGATACAAAGTCTATTAAGATTGTCATTTCTAAAATCTTAAGTGAACTGCAAGATGTTGGGACAACATCTAATTGTGAGGGGGAGTGTGTAGTGTAGTGTGATTAAACAAAATCAATATGATTAATGCAATACTAAATAATATGGTATGTGAATGTATTATTGTTTTGTTGGTAAAAGGAAAAAAGAAATGAAGTGTAAGTCAGGAAATGCCCACTAGGGGGAAACCAAAGGCTGCAGGCAGTAGCGGACACAAACGATGTTTTGCGTCACAGCCAATACAGCTTGATGCACAGACAACCAGGAGTTCGTGTCGTCTCATTTATTTATGTCTATTTTCCCCTTTTCCAGGTATAGACTATTTATTTAATTCATTTTTGTTGTGAGTTAAAAACTACAGTGTTTATAAGGCTGGTTATTTCTCCTGAACATATGTGGAAATGTGAGGTTTGAGGTTTAATTATCGTGTTTGACATGCTAACCACGAGGAAACTGTGGGTTAAACTGAACGCATCTTATGTCCTTGCCTAACTGTAAAGTAAAAATATACAATTTATTAACTGAAATGGTTAGGAGCAAATGTTATGTGGAACATAGTCCATGTTGTTTTTCTGTATTTCATGGTTAATCTGTCTAATGATAAGTGACTGCTGAAATAGTGTTTCATTTTATTTTAGTGTCAAAGAAGTTGTAGAAAAGTTGATAAAAGACTGAATGTTAAAAATGCTGGTTTAGTGCTCATTTAAGTACACAGTTATAAAAATGAAGTTATAGAAATGTATTTAAATTACGGTTATGGTGACTGTTGTGATACATTGTTATGCATTGCTGATCTCGTCTGCGTATTAATGTGAACTAATGTATTGATGTATACATTCAATTCTCTGTTATATATTGTGTTGGAAAAGAAAGAAAATAGTTCACACAGCCAATACAGCTTGATGCACAGACAACCAGGAGTTCGTGTCGTCTCATTTATTTATGTCTATTTTCCCCTTTTCCAGGGGTGCAACACAATAGTTTTTTTTTTTTTTTTTTTTTTTTTTACATTCTATGAAGTGAAACTCAGATTGCTCCTGTCATACAGAACAGATGTAGACTGATAAAAAGAAGTGAAATTTTTTTTAAAAAAGAAGGGTCAAATGGTTATCTTCGATTCACACATCTCTAAATAGAAGATGATTATTGTGTAACATTGACAACAATGCTTCATGTTCCTGTATTGCACCTAAATTTCTATTTTACATTTTTACATTCATAAACCTTTTTGTTTTATATGTGCTAATGCATGTGTCTTATCTATTATTTCTCATTTTGAAAGTATATAAAATTGGGAAAATCTCTTTTTGGAGGTCTAGGGTATATATTTTTTCTCAAATATTTTGCTTCCATTAGTATCTTGGAAAATCAAATAGACATTTCAGTGAGTGCTGACACCCTAACGCATCTTGACAATTATTATTTGTTTTATTTGTAATATTTTATTGTTGCATTTTTTATATAGAAATTTGAAGCATTTTATTTGGAATACTATAGCATTTATTTTCGCAAGTGTTTTGCTGTCTTTAATGCAAAAATATGGTATTCATAAAAAAAATAAAAAAAACGTTTTATTAAGCATCAGATACCAGCTAACTAAAATATTATTCTAAGATCATTTTGCTATGTTCCCATTAAGTTATTTCTGAATGTACCGGCAACAATCAAAAAAAATTTTTGGGGGGTTAAATGAATGTTAGGGAACACTCCATTTTATAATTCTGCAAACATTATATGAACATTACTATTGAATGTTCTCTGAATGTTCTGAAGGAATTAATAACATTTAAAAACACCAGACAAACACCAAACTAAATTGTTTCAGGAAAAAAGAAATCCATAAATGATGTGTAAATAAAGTTTTTGTGCTAACATTTAACATTATTAAAGACCAGATAACTTTTAACGAACATTCTATTAATGTTGCTGGAAGAACGTTTGTTCATAACTTTGAGAGTTATAACGTTCCCTGTTAGGGATGAAACACTGTTGCTTGTTTCAGTTGCTTGTGATCTTTAATACCATTTAATCTCACCTTGAGCATTAGGTGTGCATTTCAGAGAAAGTCAGGTTCACTCTTCACAGTGAAAAAAGCACAAAGACAATTCAGACTGATTATATTTTATTTACAATAAATAAGCCTTCAACATATTTACAGCATATTGAAGATAAATTATTCAGAAACATGACTCCCTCCTAAGCACATTCCAAAATGTCTATGATGTACACAACATAAAGTGTATATATCAAGGTGTATGTAACATAAAATCAATCTGGTGATGAGACTAACTTTGCTTTTACTATCAAGTGTAGTGGATGCCAAGGTAAACCAGTGATTCTAAAGGTAGACCTTGTGCCACTGTGAATAATGTATGTCTGCATTTCTGTACTGCAAAGTGCATGAGAGTGAAAAATAAAAATGAGCAAAAAGGTGCTATGGCACTTGTTATTAATCTTCTTGTGCTATCCTGCTTTCAAGTATCCCCCTCCTCCATTCCTCTTTTCTTGAACTCCTTCCAGTGTTAAAAGTCTATGTTTTTAAAGTCGCTGTTGCAGCGATATCTGTTGTCGCTGTAGCTGGTGCAGACCAGATGTGGCAGGCAGGGGCAGGTGTGGTGTTGTCTCTTCCCGGGGAAAGGAAACTGCGGCGAAGTCAAAACACACAGATGACTTTATTAATAACTACATGATATTATTATTTCATATCATTTATTGTTATTATTGATCAGCAATGCATTGATTAAAAAAACATGAACTGCTACATTCAAATTAATAAAAATAAAGACCATTTATTTTTAAACCATGACTGGTGTAAAGTAAAGACGTAACCATTCTGATTACATCTTTGCAGACGTTAGTTCAGCCAGTCAGGATTAGACAAAACTCTATAGGCGTAAGTTTCTGTTTAAGGATCTTGTCAGTTTTATTAGTCATCATTGAGTCACAAACACCTGCAAATCTGCTTTCCTTCACCTTATAGCCTACGCTGAATGCAAAGCTTCTGTATCGGTCTGAGACTGTCCATCAGTGATAAACAGCCCTGATCTGTGAGACATTCGATCGATATCAGCTACACTTATCAGCAGATTCTTTTAAAGCCTTTCTCAGTCATTTCTGGCAGCAATCAGATCCGCTGTTTAAAAAGAGATTGCATTCTTGAATCCGAATGTGTTTCTTTTCAATTTAGAGTTGCTTGACCATCTATTGTCCGTTCTGACTAGTCTATCTCTGTTTTGCTCCTTCTCTCAATTTCTCCTTGTCTCTATTTTTATCTTTCTCTTCTGTTAACTGTTAACCTTGGGTTTCCTCGAGCCAGCCAGTCGAATCACAGCTTTGATTTTCCGGAGGGGTTTCTCGTGGCTCTGTACAGTGTGTGTGTGAGTGCATCTGTATACCTTGTGGCTGTACGGGTGGCATTCGTCTCCTTCCAGCCCCTGTGGTGTGCACATACGCAGGCCTCGAAGCCACAGACTCACTGCACAGCACAGACCCACGCCACACTGCACATCCCTGTCACACGCCTGACACACAAACACAACACACAATACGTCACATACTGTATGCCCTGGATTCACAATACATATAAGATCTTGCTTTGGCTTTGTTTACTTGCAAGATTACAATTTTCTACAAATGATATAGTGTATTTGCTCATGGGTGATATTTTGTTGAGCTTCTTGAATTCTCCAATGCCAAGAATGCAAATGACCTTTGTTATTAAATATTTGACTAATAAATAAGATTAAATAATGCCTTTTTCTATAATTTTCCCTAAATGTTCAGAACTTGTGATAGACCAGCAAGTAAGAAAGCCCCTTTTTTGGTAAGTCTGTTTTTTTTTAAGTGCACCTTGCAATATATTTATTATTCTATATGAAATGAAAATGCTAGATGATAGATTTAAATATGAGTTAAATGGAGGATATCAATTTAGGATGTTAAAAAGGATGGGAAACGCTGATCAAATATATAGGGGTTGGGATGGGAAATACCCAATGGCTATATAAAATGTGGAAAAACGGATCTAAAATCTGATACCAAACTTTCCTTTCAAAAACATTTATTCTAATACAGTAAGTTTAATCTGACACATTGGCTGACAGGCAAACAATTATCAATTAAACAGTAAGCCTGAATAAACACAATGAAGGTGAATCATAAATAAACTGTATCCATTGGTAACGCTTTAAGGTCTCTTTTGTTAACATTAGTTAATTCGCATTTTTTGAAGCATTTATTAACCTATTAGTTAATAAAAATATTCATCTTCACATTAGTTTACAGTGCATTAACAAATACAACTTTTGATCTTAAAAATGTATTAGTAAATGTTGATATTAACATTAACCAATAAATGCTGTAGTAAAATGTTAGTTAATAATGTTAACAAATGAAACCTTATTGTAAATTGTTACCAATCCATTTTGGCAAAATATAAAAAACTTTGTTCACTATTAGTTATTGAAACCAACTGAACATTATTCATTCTTATGTATAATTGCATAAATTAATGATAAATAAAAAATCAAATGAAATAAAAATGACTAAGAGTAAATAGTCAGACTTACCCCTGTGATGACGGCACATCTGCACCAGCTCAGGGACAGCAGGAGCACGGACAGTATCAACACCCTGCTCATAGCAGCAGCAGCAGCGGGACAAACACCACAAAACACTAAGAGCACCAACTATCTTTTTTCAGTCTTCTAAATCTCCCTATTGATCTTTCTTCTGTCCTGCGGAGCTCCCAGTGGATTTTCTATGGCCCCGAGGAGACGATTTGACTTCTCTGCTGTTCTTAACCTTCCGTCTCAGAGTGTGGAGTCTTTGGTAACTTCTGAAATAAGGTCTGAGATCTGGCTCTGTCTCTCTCTCTTTCTTTCTCCATCTCTCTTTCTCTTTATCTCCCCTCGCCCCTCTTTTCCCCCCACCCACACCTCCGCAGGGACTTCGTCATCTCTTTCTGTATGACGCTGGACTGGATGATGGAGAAGAGACCTTTAATGGATGTTTCACTTCAAGCAAATCCTTCCTGATGGCAGCTATTAACACGTTTTTCATTGGATATGTCTGGTTATTAATCAGATGAGTTAAATTTAGAAGAGCATTGTTTGCCAAACTTTGCTTATGGCTTACGTCCCCCCCAAAAGCCCCAATCAATAAGTCTCAAGTACACCTTCACTGAAACCTGAAATGTGTTCATACTGTCAACTAATTTTATACCGAATATCATTTATCATCACAATATCATTAATACAAGTCAGAATTTAATAAAATCACAGCTGACATGTGTTTGAAAACAGATTTACACACATAGTAAACAGAAGCACGAATGTTATCAGTGTAATCCACAGAAATTCATAAAAAACACAATATTTTGTTGATCAATTTAGTGTTTTAATTATTTTCTTAAAAGGAACTTAAATCAGTTTTTGTTCCTACTTTTATAGGTTTAACAAATCAAAGTCTTTCCAAGTATCCCTAGTTGGGAATCACTAGAGCACAAATTACTGTTTCAGTAAATCCTCTAGTTTGTTTGTTTGATTGATTGATTGGTTGATTAACATAATGTTTTGGAGGTATAATAGTTTGTATAATTTTTAGTATCTGCAGTTAGATTCTCTAATTTATTAAATTGTGCAACTAAAAGAATATTAGAATATGTCTTTTTTTATATTTTCAATTTGAGGAAATTTGTAATGATGTAAACAATTTCAATTTCAATGTAATTATTTTCAAATGATTTACTCCATTGTCAAAGAGAAAGAATCCTTCACACCATCATCTAATATCCTCTATGCATCCGGTTTCATGCGCAGCTTGTTAGGCTAAAGTAATTTAGTTTTTCCCCTTATTCACTTCTCCACAAGACACTTGTTCATTTTACAGGAGTCCACGGGCCATAATTATCACCTTCTCATTTGAATCATTAAGATTCATCGCCCTTTACAGCGCCAGAGTAATGTCAGTCGTGCAGCCAAGTTTCAACACAAGTCAAGTAAGTTCATAGGAAATGAGTCATCAGCGCAAGGGGTTGACGAGAGAAACGTTTATTTTTGCTTCCTGACAATATGATGCTGCTTCCAGGTAAATCACAACAAATTAAGCACTTGTCAATTCATTTGAGACGTTTAAGCCTACAGTCACCCCATGACATAATATGCACTGTCATTCACTGACAATTTCCTATTTACAAGTCTTAAATGTGCCAGTCAGACACAGACTGTTAAACGTATTCGACATCATGTCCTCTCAAGCCTGAAAACTTCTCTGAACCAGCAGTAACAAGAGTAATTACATCTCATCGCGGACACATGTGCCCTACTCACTACAAACAGTACATTTCTCATGAAGGGACTCTTTAAAAATAAGGACTCTTCAATTTCTGGTGTCAAGTTTAATCTGGTCTCGTACTTCAGCTTTTGCTGCTGTGAGGTCATCGGAAGGCCTGCACTGAATCAGCGCCCGAAGAACTTCATGCAAAGCTCGGCAGTTTTACACAGAATTAGAACGCCTGCCATTCATAAAAGCCACTTGCATGCATGGTTAAATATTCTGATAGTGCTTTTGAGCAATAATTCAGCTAACAATACATTTAAAGGAATACATTCATGACGTCTTATGCGGCCTTGCACTTTATGAAGTCAGGCACTCTCTTTTCATCAGAGTCAGATGCATATGGAAATGTTGCAGATGCTGATGATCAAAGCCTGGGTTGGAGATACGTGATGGAATGCAATTATACAGAATCAATGAGCTTACTTGAAATGATAGCTAAATAAAATATCCAACTTGACGGCAATTGGAGTGAAGGATAGCCGACTGGAAAATGTCAGTCCTATCTGTTGGGATTTGATTTACGTTTAGCGAGAGCATGAAAATGCCATTGGTTAGTCAGCAGTGCATTTCTTGGCTGCAGTGAAAGTGATGGATGCCACTGACGGCCCGGCCACGTAATTACATTGCAACTTTTTGCCCCGTCAGCAGACCAACTTGGCTCTAACTGTACAGGACTGGGTAGAAATCATCAAGCGTTGCTAGCAGGGAAGAACCTACGTTGGCTAAATGAGCTTGGACGCTGTTAAACATAACTTCATAATAAATGCAATATAATGTAATTATATTATATTATATTATATTACACTATATTATATTAATCTGGCCATTATACTTTATATAATAATTATATCATGTATTATATATAAAGATATTTACCCTTATATTTCCCATACTAATTGAACTAAATTATCAGCACACACTAATACCATGTCATTTTGGCACAATAAGAACACAAACACACAGGATAACGAATACTTCATTTATTCGATATATCAGTATAGCAGTTTGTAAAAGTAGTTAAAATATCTTGGCACTTAGTATCTTAGTATATTATTAATGAATCTTTTGAGAGAGAAATGAAGGGAAAATAAATTAAATTGACCTAAAAAATGTGATAGGCTACCCATAAGGCTGCACACATTCTGGAAACCTGAATCAGTTCTACTGGGCTCTAGGGATTGTTGCTCTGCTTCATTCCATTTGCATGTATATTGAACTCAATAAGCTGATTTATACTTCACAATTTGCACATATGGTTGGCTGTATTTTTGAAGTGTACAGTATACACATTCTAGATATATGATACAAACATATATTTAATGTATTATATAATGAACAGAGTAGCCTAAAACTGTCTTCATCAAAAGTGGCTCACGAAACACAAAAGACTTTTCAAAATAGAGAAGACAGCATCAGTTTCTGATAAAAGAACTCCTAAAATAAAATTGAATGTGAGGAGCAGGACTGGTCTTTTTTTCTGCTTTTGGTCAGAGCATGGGGTTGTCTAGACTCTAGAGATATCAACAGTGAACATTCACACGTTCCCCTGGGAGTTCTCATTGACAATGACAGCTAAATGTTAACCGGATATATTTGCCCTTTAAAGAATTTTTAAAGAATTCTTTAAGAATGTAGGCTATTATTGATAAAAAAAAGGAAGTAGAGGGAGAAATAAAAAGATGTTGATCTTGACACTGAATCATATGTGACCATCTGCTAATAATAGTCCTGCAGGAACATCCATCTAAAGCTGGTTGCTGCGTTTTGGTAAATTGTAGCTTGTTTTTTAAGTGGTCCAAGCTGGTCTTAAACCATTTTGGTGATTTTGGTCCTGCAAAACAACAGCTTTAGTTTCAGCAAGTCTGACTGCGTAGAAAATCGTCTGTTACTAGTGTAGCCTATCATATAACTTAAATTTAACCCCAAACACATTGATTTCAGACTACATGGAGAGTGTTTCGCTGCTTACAATATTTTCTTATTTACTGACAATGCTGACTTGAGCTAGATGGCGCTAGATCATATTTGCTTGGTGTTTTTTCCTTGGAGGACGCCGTAGTCGTCGCATGATAGGATGTCAGCTGACATCCCGGAAGTAGTCCAAATAACAACTGCCGCTTCCCCTCTCTCCACAATATTTACTCTTACTGTTAATTTAACATCGTTATTTAAGCCGCTATTATGGAGGGTGCACTGGAACAGCATCTTGATGATACGTACGTTAAAAAATGTCGTTATTTACCAAGCATATATAGCCTACTTATTTTGTGTGTTGCTTTTTCTAATCTGTGTTTTCTTACACTAGGATGAAAAATCCTGCCATTGTTGGGGTTTTGTGCACAGACGCTCAAGGCCATAATCTAGGATGTAAGTATAGTTTGTCTCGTTCATCCACTGGGTCATGATGACAGTAACGACTGTATTTGCGAAGTTTACATGTCCATTAATTTATTTATTTTTTCAGCAACATCAGCAGCAATAATTTTACTAAAGTTGTGAATGTTATTCAGTTTAGGCTACTTTCATAAAATTGGCGACATTATTACCATTTAAAATGGACAACTTACATCAGGGTTGTTATTATTAACTAAATCTAAAACGATTAAAAACCTATGAGTTAATTGAAATAAAAAAATAAAGAAAATAAAATTAGAAATGTTGCTTAGGAAAACTTAATTCAATTTAATTTAAGTATTAAAATTAGAAATACATAACTAAAACTTAACAAAACTGAAAATAAAACTATTCTAAATTTTAATATAAAAAACTAATAAAAATGACAAAATATAAAACAACAAAATGTTAGTAGTAAAAAAAATATTTATAAAAATGAAGCTAATTCAAAATATGAATAACTATAATAGTAAAATAACGCTACATTATTTAATTTAGTTTCACTAATAAATTAAGGGTAATAATATATGGAAGCTTATTTCTGCCATAGAATAAAAAAATAAAAAAGGTAATTGCGCCTTTTTATCTCACAATTCTGACTTTTTTTCTTTTCATAAAAGTATTAATTACTTATACTATCTAATTACTATCTTTTTTTAAATCGTACCCACAAATGGTTGAATAGTATCATTGTTTCCACAAAAATGTTAAGCAGCAAAAACTGTTTACAACATTAATAATAAGAAATGTTTCTTGATCATTAAATCTTAGAATGATTTTTGAAGGATCATGTGACACTGAATCAGTAATGAGTGAAAATTCAGCTTTGCCATTACAGAAATAAGTTACTTTTTTTTAAAAATGTATTAAAATAGAAAACAATTACTTTAAATTGTAATTGTATTACTGTTTTAACTGTATTTTTTGATTAAATAAATGCAGCATTGATGAGCATAGAGACTTCCTTCAAAAACATTAAAAAATGTTAATGTTTCAAAACTTTTGACTGAACATGTAAACTCACAGTTTTTTCAAACACAATTTTTTTTTCCTTAGAATTGTGAGATGCAAATCTTCCAGAGGGCAGTAATTCATACTCTATGTGCAATATGTACAATGCCTCGGCTAAAATTTGATGTGCTTCCCTAAGAACTGACTGTTTATACAATGACTCAAAAGACTGAGGTTCCTTTTTCCCTATGGTCTTCATCACTATTTTTACCAGGCGAGCAAGCTTAGACTTTGCGTGAGCCGTACGGTTACCAAACCATATAATAATGCCATATCTAATTATGCTCTCTATAACTGCTCGATAAAATAAACGCATAATTTTCTGGTCCTCTCCATAAATCATAAATCTGCACAGAAAATACACTCACCTAAAGGATTATTAGGAACACCATACTAATACTGTGTTTGACCCCCTTTCGGCTTCAGAACTGCCTTAATTCTACGTGGCATTGATTCAACAAGGTGCTGAAAGCATTCTTTAGAAATGTTGGCCCATATTGATAGGATAGCATCTTGCAGTTGATGGAGATTTGTGGGATGCACATCCAGGGCACGAAGCTCCTGTTCCACCACATCCCAAAGATGCTCTATTGACAACTCATTGTCATGTTCAAGAAACCAATTTGAAATAATTCGAGCTTGTGACATGGTGCATTATCCAGCTGGAAGTAGCCATCAGAGGATGGGTACATGGTGGCCATAAGGGATGGACATGGTCAGAAACAATGCTCAGGTAGGCCGTGGCATTTAAACGGTGCCCAATTGGCACTAAGGGGCCTAAAGTGTGCCAAGAAAACATCCCCCACACCATTACACCACCACCACCAGCCTGCACAGTGGTAACAAGGGATGATGGATCCATGTTCTCATTCTGTTTACGCCAAATTCTGACTCTACCATCTGAATGTCTCAACAGAAATCGAGACTCATCAGACCAGGCAACATTTTTACAGTCTTCAACTGTCCAATTTTAGTGAGCTCTTGCAAATTGTAGCCTCTTTTTCCTATTTGTAGTGGAGATGAGTGGTACCCGGTGGGGTCTTCTGCTGTTGTAGCCCATCCGCCTCAAGGTTGTGCGTGTTGTGGCTTCACAAATGCTTTGCTGCATACCTCGGTTGTAACGAGTGGTTATTTCAGTCAAACTTGCTCTATCAGCTTGAATCAGTCGGCCCATTCTCCTCTGACTTCTAACATCAACAAGGCATTTTCGCCCACAGGACTGCCGCATACTGGATGTTTTTCCCATTTCACACCATTCTTTGTAAACCCTAGAAATGGTTGTGCGTGAAAATCCCAGTAACTGAGCAGATTGTGAAATACTCAGACCGGCCCGTCTGGCACCAGCAACCATGCCACGCTCAAGATTGCTTAAATCACCTTTCTTTCCCATTCTGACATTCAGTTTGGAGTTCAGGAGATTGTCTTGACCAGGACCACACCCCTAAATGCATTGAAGCAACTGCCATGTGATTGGTTGATTAGATAATTGCATTAATGAGAAATTGAACAGGTGTTCCTAATAATCCTTTAGGTGAGTGTATAATCTGCTGCACACAGGAGCAAATTGAGCAGTATAGAGTTAAACCATTAAACATATTGTTCAATAAAATATAGGGTTATAGACTTGTGCTTTTATATGGGTTTTCTTGAATTTTTGAAATCTTTTCTATTACTCACCATAATATGAGAACGACTTAATACTGTAACTGTAAGCTTCTTTAATGTTTCAATCTCTAGGCCGTGGCTCGCTCTCTGATGAACATGGAGGAATTGTGTCTGTACTGGCCAAGCAAGCTGCTTCTCTAACCAAAGACCCCACTGACTTCCCTACTGTGTGCCTGGAGTCTGACTGTGGGTAAGAAGCTTCATTTTGATAGAGAACAAAGAACAACAAAACAAACTCCAGATCTTAAAGGCTTAGTATCCTCATCCTAAATTTATTATAAATAGACTTTGAACAATACATATTGCAGCTGCGTTTTAAGTATTAATTGGGGAATGTTTGTAATTTTGTTATTGCAGGAACATTTTGGTGAGAACACATGGAACAATTACACTGGCCGTCCATAAGATGGCATCATGAATTCTGTTTGTATCTAATTGTCAGATATTGAACGTGCGCAGTGTTTTTAAACACCATTACTTTGAGTTTGAAAATCTTTAAAGGTTTATTGTCAGCAACATAGAAGCTTAATGATTGGCTGAGATCAAGTCCTCCTTCATATGCGAAAACCATCAGATGTTTGTTGTCCGTGGTTAATCACTAATTTCTTTTCCAATATTTGTACTTTCTTACAACCATAAACCACAGTTCAAATGTGTTTACTGCTTTTTTGGTCAAACAATATTGTTTCCAGTTAATAAATTGTGTTATTTAAGGAAACTTCTTCTGACTGTGTCTTATTGCGCATAAGTACGTGAGGGGTGCTTTAGTTGAAGTACCATAGTGTGTCAGAAGGGGACAGTAGTTGTAACACATTTGCATGAAGCAGATTACTGAAAATAATCTAATCAGAGCTAAAGTGTTTTCATTCTGAGCTGCAGTTTATATTATAAAAGTTGAGACAGGTGAGGTGTTTTTTAATCCTTCTCTGTAATGGTCAATAAGTCATTATTTCTTAAACAGAGACATGTAAGCCGAGAAAACTTTTTGAAAAGAGGCAACTATAATTATTACTATTGTTTTTTAGGAATAACAGAAATATTTTATCCCTATCCCTTTTTCTTTTCTTTATGTTTGCTTGGATTGTACTGGTTTATGCATATGGAGAATGCAGAGAATTCATTAGTCTTATTTTTGTCATGCTCACTCTCCAGTAAATCATGTGAGGGGAAAAAATTAGGTATCTGAAGATTGCTGAATTTTTTATCAGTCACTCTGGCCTGTCATGAAGCGTTCCTTCTGAATGCATGTGATGACTGGTGACCCAGACTTTTATTTGCCAAGTTTGCAGTTAATATGATGATATGCAAATAATGCAATAGGTATACAAAAAAAAAGCAGCATGAATGCTAAGAAATCAAGCTAAGCAGTTTTTGTCCCATTCTTTGACGTACTGTATCTGTAATGTATTATTTGTAATGTTTAGTAGATGTTCTGAATGTCTAACTTTTTGTGAGCACAAAAACAGCACTGACAACAGAACGCAATGTAATCATCATATTAGCATGTGTGGGTAAACATAACATTTCATGACTATTAAGAGAAAACACAGTTGAAAGAATTGCACTATATCTTTTTGTATAATGCCATACACAACCGAGAGGACAGATTATATTATCTGAATTGCAGCTCCAAATAGTTTGACAATTTCGGGATCAACTAAACATTGCAGAAGGTTTGTGTGTGCTTAAGTCAGCAGATAAGTACATTTGTATGGTTATTATACCATTTCAGAATACAGCAGGTGTATTTATGGAAGGTTTGACCCATTGTGCCATAATGAGACCGGACTAAAGAAGGACACTTGACACATGGCAATGTTTACCTGCTGCAGTATTAAAATATCTAGATCATTCAGGACAGTCTGTCATTCATTACTGTCTATTTACCTGTGTTCTAACAGCCTCAAATATTAACCTGCCTTCAACCAACCCTTTAAGCACCTGAGCATCTCACATTACTGCCTTTAGGGTTTTGTGATATCGATCTGAATATCTATGCATTCATAATTTGCCCCTGAAGCTGTCACAGTGTAGTGACCTCTTTCAAATACCCACAGTCCAGGAAAGCCTCTGAAATTTGTTCCACTTGAATACTTGGCTACTAGGTTTCGGTCACATGGTCATTAAATGCACTAGGGGCCAGTATTTGGCTCTGCACAGCCTGAGCGCATTGCATCCGATCTGTGCCGGTCAGATGTGACCCTCGAGATACTCAGAGACTAGGGGCAAACTTTCAGAAAGTAAGAGAAATCTAGCGCAGGGAGTCCAGCCATGTTCAGGGATGATTTTGATAAGATATACCAGCACATAGGAGGAGCTGTAACCGGGGAATCCACGGCTGTTGCCCGCAGCGCAACCGCAGATGCGCGCATTAGGAAACGTCTACACAAATCAAGTCTTAACAAGTGAAATCTGGAATAAACTGACTGATACCGTTTCGGAAAATATGGTAAGTCCTTATTTTTGTCGCCAACCATATGTTTCTATTTATGAAATGGTCCTTGACAATTGACAGAAAGAATAAATTGTTCGGTTGCAGACATGTCACAAGTTAAATATAGTTTTTCTATTGTCTCTCTTTTTTAAGTGTCTCTCTCACGGGTCATTTTAATAGCGAATGTTTTTAATTTCACTTTTATTTTGATGGATTTCTGAGTTCAGTAAGGTAGGCTAGCCTATTTAATGCTTTACTTGAACAAAAGGATAATTTTATTTACTTTTCGAATTTATTTACCTTTAGTTGAACCATTGTAAGCTAGCAAATGTAATGTGTTTTCGCTGTTGTGTTAATTATTTAATTTATTAGAAAAATTTGATAGGCAACATAATGCGTGTGAAACGGCAGGTAACCTCTTTGGGATGAACTTTGTTTTAGTGTTCGGCTACTGCGGCTACTGCACTTACAGTAAAGTAAAACCCGACATGTTTTATCAGAACATGAAGCATTGATCGTAGCCTACAATGCCGGAGTTTTAATGACATTGTTTTTTCATCGACTGTTATCGATAGGTGTAAAGTACTGCACTCCAGTAGCGCGCACTCACATGAACGCCGCTGGGCTCGCGCGAACCACACACGAGCGCTATGCGGCTGCGGACAGCGCGCGACAGCATCAGCTTTGGCGTTTGGGGTAAGTGCAGAGTGCAACACCCTCGTGATTTTCCCCAATGTTTTGTGCCATGGTATAGGATTATAAACTAAGCTTAAGTGTTTAGACGTTTAACTATACAACCTCACTTAGTTGTCGTCGATGTAGTTGTTGATGTTTGAGGATGATCACGTTGTAGACATGTGGGATGTCCTGAACAGTGCGTTCCCAATGTGCATCTTTGAAGGGTGCAAAACGTTTGTTTAAATAAAAGTTAGGAGTCACGCGGCCATTTATGGCAGTGGCAGTGCTTTAATAAAGTAGACTAGAAGAGACAGATGTTGTGTCATAATATAGGCTACTTGTATAGACACTTTCTCCCAAAGTTAGAATATGCTCTGTTAATCTTACCAAACCTACTCTTATGTTTTACATTGTTTACATTGTTTTTACATTGAATAAGTTGTTTATGTTTAGTAGAATCTAAATGTTTGATGTGAAGACACTGGGAGCCAATGTGTGGAAATGTATTTCTGTGAATGTATGTGTTTAGAAAACATACAGAAAATCAATGGAGAGGTCAAAGGATTTCCTTCCCCTAGCTGTAATGTCACAATGACAAGATAGCATTTGCAGATTCTTCAAATGAGTGAGATTTATAGATTTAAATGCAATTCTCACTTGAATTAAGGTGATATAACTAATTAAAAAGGACCAACCCCCTGCAAAAATCCAATACAAGAAAAACTGCTCCACAATCACAGGGGTGTAAAGTTCCTCACGGGAATGCAAACAACTACAATTTTGAAAAAAAAAAAAAGCGCCAAAAGCAGTAGGCCTACTACTCTGACTTTTCTCCTCAGAAGTCACCGCAGTTATGAAGGCTTGTGATTCCCAAGTCAGACATTTCTAACAATGAATGTAAGAATATCTGTGTCATGTGTCTGGCAGCACGCATGTGAAAATGAATTATTTTAAGTATGCTCACACCTTGAACACCCAATGATTAAAGATTCTTGTGTGGGGAAGATCCAAAACACAGCAAGTTATAACAGAGTTTGTGTAACAGGTTCGTCAAATACGGGATCTACTAGTTGAGCTTCATACAGAAGATGACACTTAAATAAGGCCCTTCATTTTCAAGTGCTACAACTATGCTGCCAAAAGAGCAACACTGGTGAGTCTGCAATTTCAATGTCCTTTTATTTAATCAGCATGACTCTAACATTATTGATCGATTTAGTGAATTTTACATTATTGTCATAATCCACAACTCTCCTTTTCCATGTTAGTGACTAAAATTGAATATGTCATATTTAGGATGTTAAAATGTTTTGTTTAGTTTCTGCTCTTAGTTCACTTCAAAAGGAACATTCTGTGATCATTTACTCACCCTCGAGTAGTTTATAACCTGTATGAATTTCTTTCTTCTGCTGAACACAAAAGAAGATATTTTTAAGAATGTCAGTAGCCAAACAGTTAATGGACCCCATTGACTTCCATAATATTATTTTTTCCTACTATGGAAGTCAATGGGGTACATCAACTGTCTGGTTACCGGCATTCTTCAAAATATCGTCCTTTGTGTTAAGCAGAGAAAGAACTTAATATAGGTTTGAAATAACTTGAGGGTGGGTAAATGATGACAGAATTTGGGTCAACTATTCCTTTAAGACTTGCGAGTGCCTTATGGACGGCCCTTTTTGTCTATATGCATTTTTCACTAATATTGCTCACTCAATTTTGCTGCCTAGGGCAATTACCAAAAATGCAATTTTGGGATTTTTAAGAGGCTTTTGAGTGATAGTGTCGGAGTGAGGAACAGGGTGGATGGTAGTCTGCTGCAGTACCTAACCAATATAACTTCCTGCACTTTCCCTTGAACCGAGGCATTTACACTTGTGATCTTGCATACATGCATGCAAGCACACACACATGGAGACACACTCCGGGGTGGCCCGCGGTAAGCACATGGAAGGAAATGTTTTCACTTACAACACACTGGCCCAATTCATTGCTCTGTAATCCTCTAAGCAGTTTCTGCATGCTTTGGCCTCTCCACATGTCTATCTTCTCTTGAAGGAACAGCCAACTACTTGAACGAGACAAACCACATATTTTATTGACACAGTTGTGTTTTCATCAATGAAACACTGAATTTACAGAACTGTTTTTGTCTTTAAAAGTTATACACACTTAACCGCATACACACTTCAAGATAATCAGGCCGATTTTGGGCTCAATTCTCCTCTTCCGAAAATCCTTGGTAAATTTCAGATTACCTTGATCAGGGATGGGCAACGTCGGTCCTGGAGGGCCACTGTCCTACAGAGTTTAGCTCCAACCCTGAAAAAATCACCTGCCTGTAACTTTCTAGTAATCCTGAAGACCTTGATTAGCTTGTTCAGGTGTGTTTGATTAGGGTTGAAGCTAAACTCTGTAGGACAATGGCCCAGGACTGAAGTTGCCCATTCCTGATCTTGATGGTTCTACAGATTATTTTTTATCAGATTTCCCTGTGGTGTGATGTGTGTTAATGATCGCAACAGATTTTGTGAGATTTTTCCATGTCCAGTCGGGACTCTTGTTTTTTGTTTGTGAATGGAATCTGTGTGTGGTGTGCTGTCTTGGTCACATTGCGGCACTCCACACACTATGGGAACAAAACTGTTAAATGTATGAATTTTTTTTATTGTCATGTTTGTGGTCTCTCACATTTTGAAAATCTGATAAAATGTTAAAAATCTTAGTGTGGGCCAGTCTTTAGATAAAGGGATAGTTCATTCAACAAAGAACATGTTCTTGTCATTTACTTTAAAAGTCAAAAGGAGATGTTTACAACAGAATGTCCAAGCTGCTCTTTTCCATACAATGAAAGTGAATGGTGACCATGACTTCAGTTAATAAAGCATTACATTTTAGTCTATTTCTCATGCAAAGCTATCGAATCGTTTATTTTAAATATATATATATATATATATATATATATATATATATATATATATATATATATATATATATATATATAATCATATCATCATATGGACTACTTCTATGAGGCTTTGAGGTTTGTTTGTTTTTTGGTGCTTTTTGGATCTTGGAGATTGAACTATACCTTTAAGATAAAAAAATTATAATTCTATGCAGATGTGTGTACAGTAAATATGCTCACATACATTTTAAAATCAGCAAATTTCATAATGTTCCTGCTTCAGCTGCAACCACCTGTGGTGCTGACTTTGATTGCTCTGTATTTATAGTTGAGCAAGTATTTATCTCTGTTTAATTTTTCAAAGGATCCACCACCTCCGCACAGGGACTCGCAGTTTGGTTAACTTTATGCCAGGTGTTTGTTTGAACGAACCCGTTACCCTTTGACCGTTCTTTCGCTCAGTCTCTCTGTGTCATTTTGAAGACTGTACTAGACACACATTGTATTCAGCTGTATCAGCTGTAAATAAAGAGGTCTCAGGCCTGGATCCAAAACACCTCACCTTACTGATCACCAGATTAAACCAGTGGCATCCCCATGTTTTCTCAAATTTTAACCACTCTAAACAGAGCATGGTACTACTGATGTCATCATAATCTACTACCCCCTGGAACAGAAAATAATTAAATAGCCTCAGATCACACCACATTATGCTGGCGATACTGTTTTTGGGTCCAGAGCAAAAGAGATAGAAAAGAAATTATTGGAAAAATCAAAAAGGACAAATTTTTGGTACATTTGTCTTTGTTTTCATTGAACCTGCTGATGTAAATTACCTAATCTGTTCACGGAAGCCCTTTTTTTGTATGTTCCAGAAAATTAACAGCAGCCTACAATAATATTTAGCCTCGTCCAGACAGTCCAAATCTGATCTTTATGCATGTCCGTTTGGAATCCGATCACGTTTAGCAAGTGTAAACGCGAGAAATCACATGAAATCCGTTTTCAGCCACAATCCTATTCAAATCGCATTTCTAGAAGTCTGTTTCAGTCTGATCGCTCTAATCGAATTTTGCGTGGTTTACGTAGCTTTCTCGAGTCACGGAGAACATGCCAGACGTTTTTATAGGAAACATGCTAAAGGTCGCTGTGTTGTTAAAAAGTGCCAGTCAGGCAGAAAATTACAATAGCCTTTGAATGAAGACGTGTTTTGAGACCGGCAAAGACAACAGCATGGAATAAAGCCGCGCATACCAGCAGCCACCTATGTTCTCTTACGAGAGTATCTCTCGTACTGCGTAATAGCTTACGCTAGGGGAAAAACTCTTTTCCGCGAGATATTGAAGCCAAAAATTATCCTTAATTTTTTATTAATGTAAAACGCTTTGCAGCAGCAAGCAGACATAGGCGAAACAGCTCGCGTGCCTATTGGTTGCTCTGCAGCAAATGCAGCAGCCTATCGAGAGAGACTCTGCGTGACGTAATGACCAATGGGGGCAATTCGCGCCCATATCGTCACGTCCCGCCAGAAGGGGCGTGGTCTCACCCTATAAATATGCTCGTTAGGCTGATACAAGCTGATTTTTACCTCTTCAGCGAAGCACACGCATCGCTGGATCCGGAGTGAGAAGCCGCGCCGTCGAAGCAAGCCTTTCAGCGGGACGAGCTCTGGAGTCGCTGGCCTCGCCGCCTTCAACTGCCGTACCTGCTGCGCTTTCCGGCGTTCTATATCCTTTCATACTCTGTGTGTATTTACTCTGTTGAGAGTGTTTGCTCGCTTACTTGACGCGACTCACACTTCTCTCACAAAAAGAGCTGCGTCTTTTTAAAGATGCCTTCCTGTGGCTCGTGCCGCGCCCCGCTCAGCGATGGAGACCGGCATGTCATCTGCGTTTCCTGCCTGGGTGAGGATCACGCGGCTCTCGCGCTCGCTGACGGCGGATGCCCTCATTGCGAGCTTTTGCTCATGGTGACTCTGAGGACTCGCCTGGCATCATTCTCCGAGCCTTCACCGCAGCCCGCCGTGGTGCCGCGCCGCAAGAAGCGCCGCGCCCAGCGCGCTCCCGAGCTTTCTCCAGCCCGCCAAAGCTCGCCGGTTCGCCCGCCAGCTTCGCCGGCTTCGCTCGAGTCGCTCACTGACGGACAACGGCCGCCGCCTGCCGCCGCGTCCATCCACGAGTTTGACGAACCCACCGAGGCGTGTTCTCTTCTGGCATCCGATAGTGAGGATTGGGCGAGCTCCGTGGATCTCCCCTCCGCTAGCGTTTCCCGCCAGACCACTGGTAAGAGAGCCGGCATTGAGACTGAGCTGATGCGTCTGCTCTCTCAAGCCGTGGAAAGCATCGGCCTCGATTGGGAGGCGCCCGCGCAACCGCCGCGCAACAGGCGAGCTCTGTGGACCTCCGCCTTCTGTCCGCGAGTCGTCAAGGTAACGGGCCAGCATCAAGACCGCGAGCCCTAAAAACCGCGGCTAGCTTTCTTTGCGTTATAAGAAATCTACCCCGCCCCCCATGGGCGTGCGTCACCGGCAAATGAGAAAAGAGTGTGTTTTAGTCCCCGCCGAGGCCGGATTAATCTCCATTTCTCAAACATTTCTCAGCTCCTAGTTTGAGCGGCTGAAAATGTCATTATTGCAGCAATGAGCCTGTTGTATAACACGCACACCTGCATACAAAAGCCGACACACACAAAACTGTGATGACGCTCTCTTATCTGCTTGCGCTAGTGTAGTTCTCCCTGTGGCCCAGTGGCGGAACTTGAAGCTTTCACGCGAGAGACCCGTGTTCGATCCCGGCTCTCGCAGCAGATAAAAATTTAGTCTCGCCGCGGCCAGACTTCCACCGAAACTTTTCGCTCGTTCAGTTCCAGAAAATGCGACTGTTCCAGTGTATTTTGCAGTAAACAAGCTGGTACCACGGCCCGCTTGCCTGCACATAAAGGCCGTTTCCATGGCGACCCAGAAAAATCATGTCATCATTGTATTTCTGGTTTTCCGGCCACAGCCGATGGTGTTATAAGTGTAATAAAATGCTCACAGCCCAGTGTTCATTTCTACACACAAACACAGCCCGCCACGGTACAGGGCTCGCACAAATGAAATCGACGCATGTCAATTGTGCATTAAATGTAGTGAATTTGCCCACAACCCAGTGCCCACAAACACTACCACGGTTTCTGTAAAACGAAACCAACACAAGTCTTCCTAGCCTCTTAGGAAATCGACGGTGTTTCAGTCTCGCCGTGGC